ATTCATGGCCGGCGCAATGCATACCGCATTCCAACTCTGTTTCAGCATGTTTAGTTTCGATGACATGATTCGCTAAATATTTACCATCATTTATACGAAAGAAAGCTTCAGCGATTAGGCATTCTCCCGACTGGAGTATCGTTGATGTAAGAATTAACGCACTAATACTTGATAAGGCAGACATTTTGAGGCTGGACATACAGGGCAGGTCTTTGAACCATGCCTTTATACATTACAGGTTTATTAATAATGCGTTTGATATTATAGGTTCTTACTGATGATTGGCCATCACAAATTGCCCATATAAAGGATGGCAATACTTATTTGTATGTTGGCCACGGGGCAAGATTAAAAGTTTATTTTCAAATTTGACGAGTTAGCATACTAAACGATCCTTAGATTTTTATCTTTTGAGCGTCGAGTTCTATTTTCATCCTCTTCTTTGTCGTTTTTTCGGCTATGTTTTTAATAGAAAGCGAGAAATATATCTGTATAATTTATAAACTTTATATATGCATCTGCCAATATAAAATGTGACGATGATAAAAAGAAAAATTATTACAGAAACACAAATACACCTGTAGTCTATTTAAGTCCTCATGTTTATGTATACTGCAATATAAAGACTGAATATTAATTTTGACAGGTGTGTGCGACAGAAAGGAATATAGTGTTAAAGCATGTAGTTATGGTTGAAACTAACAGGAATTAGCGTAAAAATAAAGCATTTATAAAAGTAGCTACTTTCAGTTAAAATCAGTATTCGAATTCGTTGGCTTGTTCCTAAAAATACAAAACCAAATCTTCTGCTTTCTGACATTACATTGATTTTTAACGCATTTTCAAGTGTATATTTTTTATTAGTTCAGTTGCTCAGTTCTTATGATTGTTATAAGTTTTTTTTAATGTTATATTTACGCGAGGTAGGAGATCTTTACAAGGGTTTACTAAAGTTCAATAATGTTCTCTTCTTTCTCCGTTCTTCTCTTCTCTTCTATTCAAATTTTCGTCCTTTCGGAACTTCGTCGTTTTCTGTTCTTGTCTTGGCTGTCCGTTCTGTCAGGTTGAGCTTCCTAACGTTTCATATGCTTTTTACTCCGCTAGTCCACTGAAGGTTGGGGTGTTGTGCACGCCCTTTTATAGTAACGGTTGAGGGACATCTGTAAACGTCATCAACCAGAGTGGGCTGATCCTTATCCAACCAATCAGCGTTGTTAGTTAGAAATGGGGGTTGGCATTAGAAGCTCGTTCCAGCTCTCATATCTTGTTTGTATAAGGCGTTGACGCACTAGTCGAGTTGGTCTTTAGCTCTATCGATCAATACTTTTTAATGTTCACAACTTAAAATATTTATCATCAACAAGCATTAAAATTATCAAACATTGTTTCTGTGAACCTTATTTTATAACTTAACTATTTATTCTACTATTTTAATCGAATTAAACTTTCTGTGACGTAATCCTTAAAATGCTCGACCGCGCATTATAAAAAACACATTTGATTGACATAAAGGCTTCGCAGCTGCCTCAAGCATGCATATTTTCAATTATGACAATTAAACTTGGCAACGACATACGACTGTTGATCCAGATGCGCACGTTCTGACAGGATGATTGATATTTTCACCTTACTACTTTATTCAAAATATAACATAAAATAACCCCCTTCCTGATATTCAGTGACTTAAAATTTTGACTAGGGTTCGACAACCTTAGATCCGCCCCTTTATATACCAAATTTTATAAACTTTCGAATCGTGCGCATAATTTGCATGAAAGTGATCTTCAGTTGTGACCTGTAACTGAGAAGTTACGTGAGATCATTTTCTTTCATTTATGACTTATTCGACGCATCGAGTCTTTATATATAGTCATACAAATATTTACTAACTCAGTTGGTATTCTTTCCACATTTATTGTCAATCTAAAAACATGCATATTTATAATATTATTCAAACCTTGTGCTTTTCCATAAAATATGAAACAATATGGAAAAACCAACCTCAACGTTGATTCCTTTATGGTATGAACAGATGTCACGGTTTATGAACGATTAATGCAGATTTATTGATATACAAACAGCATTCGAAAGTCTGTAATACTTTTTTAGTCTCTATTCAGAAATTTATCTAATTTCTTTTTAGGTGACTGCATGGTTCTATACTGGATATCAAAAAGAAAAAGAGGTATAGCTGATAGTAATTATTTTTTGATAAGGAAACGTGCAGAACACTGTTAGTTTTTAATTCAAAGTTCACGAAAATTTTCCCAAATTTCTTATGTTTTCAATTTTTCTCATCAAGAACACTAGTTCATATTCATTTAAAGGCATAAAGCAAACTTAAATTTTGTTAGATATTCAGACAAAACAATGTAAAAAGCCCCTTGTTTTCATACGGACTTGACTCTCACTTTAAAATCTTTGTTTATACTATATTTTGAGTTTAATCTTTGGGTTTTGTTTTCTTTTGTATTTTTTGAAAATTATTGGCTGGTATTCCTTTTTGTATCTACTGCGCATGCGCGAGTAGATACTATGCTATCGCCTGTGTAAGTTAAGTTAAGTTAAGTTAAGTTAAGTTAAGTTAAGTTAAGTTAAGTTAAGTTAAGTTAAGTTAAGTTAAGTTAAGTTAAGTTAAGTTAAGTTTTTTTGTTAAGTTAACACCCAAAATAATAATGCTACATCAAGTATTCCATTGCTTTGCCTTCGGAGCCAATCAGAATGCAGAGATGGCGACGAAAGTTTACGAAAGATAGTCGATACATCGTCGATCGTATACACACAGGAAAACACATGGCATATTGGCATATAAATATAAATGCTTTTTTAAAATATCTTCACCGATTCCTTCGTTGATTTTGAACTGAGAGTACAAACCATAGGAACTATTTGGTAAGTTTTCTGTATTTTCTACCTAATTATTTGATTAATTTACTATCCTTTTGACATTTACTATTTAGTCAACTATCCTTGTACGATATCCTATAAATATACAATGTAGGTGAGACGGGACGAAGTCGAAGATCGCCCTTAATATAATATATCAAATTATATCGCACACAAACTTGGTAAGTACATACTGTACATATTTTGCTTGTATTTATTTGTGGTTAGGTCAGTCCATTTGTTGACTGAAAGCAATCAGGACAGACCAGGTTCAAGGCATATGAAAGCAACGGTGCAGTGGCTTGAACTTAGATGTGCCTATCGCCACAACTCAAAATAATGACTCTTTGGAGGAAGCTTATCATTCCTCTGCAGGGGAAACTAATCAGGCCTCTTCAGGGGAAACTTATCAGGCCCCTTGGGGTGAAAACTAACGTGCTTCTGCATGGTAAATTTATCTTGTTTCCTTTAAGGAAAGTTGCAATGTTTGTCAGCCATCATAAATATTAAAATAAAATTCAGAATAAAACCACATAGGCACAATATTCCTTGTGGTATCCCATTAAGTCATGTAATGTTTCAGAACATGATATGAGCAGTTACCCTATGCTTATGTGCAACAATTATATCAGGGTCAGTCTTCTAGTGTGTGGTGATATTGAATCAAACCCTGGTCCTATTCAACATAACAGAGAAGCTGATACTGCAATAACTTCCAATGTATCATTATTAGAACAAAGATTATATTTATTTAATTTAAGACCATTTGATGTTGGTGGTGGGGGTGATTGTTTTTTCAGAGCTGTTTCACATCAGTTATTTGATGATCCGTCTTATTACTTTGATATCAGAGCTGCTGGTTTAACCTTTGAAGGTAATAATAAAATTATAATTTAAACTTTTAGGTCATTCTTCATCTATTCCAATGGACCGAACCCAAAGAGCAACCTGATGATCAAGGTTAAATATAAAACTATATGAAATAAATAAAAGTAAAAACTTAAAAGCACTAATAAATTAAACATATTAAATTGTAAATATTGTTATTTAATTCCTGAAAAAATTTCCACTTTATTATAAACTTTTATTGTTTATTTGTGGTATGTTTATTTAAGTAGATGTAAATAATGTATATATACCATATATGTTTTAAACGCCTTTCAAAAAAAAGTTGTATTGACTAATCGATTTATATATTGTTTCGTGTTGTATTGAAGAATCATTTGTGAGCATTAATATATTTGTGTGAATAGTTCATTACCATGTTCCGTATTATCTATTGCTTGTGCAGTCTTAATTGTGAGTCGTCTAGTTCACTTTTGGCAAGTCTCTCAATTTTAAGTGGTGAACAAATATCATGAACTTACAAATTCGACTTGCCTGCTTCAAACAATAATTATGCAGTTCACCATCACCCTTGAACGCAGTAGATACATGCGCGCCTCAGCGAGCCTATTTTTTGATATTGTATTTCATCAAATATAGGGAAATATTTACATTAAAGCTTGCGTAAGGTGGAATAAATGCTTTATACTGTTGCCTTATTGAGGTTCAGAAAGGACTGAGGACAGTTATAATAGGGATGATTTGGATAAAACTTAAAATTTAATTTAAATGTTTTTATTATTTATTATTTTATTATTATAATAAAGGGAATTAATGGAGAAGAAATAGATAAAAAATCTCTCGACGACTCGACATAAAAATCTTCGGCAGGAGAACCATGCTAACTCTCCTGACAAAAGCTCTAGGCCGAGTAGCTTTCTGCACGTGTTTTGACTCATAGTGACTCTCGTAAGTAATTAGGATGTTTAGATTATATTATTTAATTGGGATCGGAGGGGAAATTTTTCAAGGGCCCGTTTGCATGGAGCGAGTTGTTCGGGCTATAGAGGCGAGGTGATAACTGCATATAATGAATAACTAATCAGGTTAAGCCTTTGATGTGATGCGCTGTTTGAGTTTGCTGAAAAATTCTAGTAGAATCAGACCAGTACCTATATCACACCAATGAATTCACGCCCTCGCCCTGACACTGATAAATCACGTAAATGAATTATATATACATGTAGTCTTATATCTTCCTTAGGTAATGCTTCCATTTTTAATCTATGTAACAGCAGACGTGACGTTAAAATGTCAGAGAATTGCCGATGTTTTATAAACTAGGATTTTACACATCTCCGGACTGTTTAATGTTTTCTAATATGGTCAGTTAATCTCTTCATCCTAACCCCAACAACGCAACTTTCCCAGTGTGTGATATCCTTCCTCTATATCAGCTACTTCTTTCACAGTATCTCCAAATCTTAGTTCAGTAACAGGCAGTGTGTTCTTGTCTGTCAGGTATCCACTGTCTTCACGCCATGTTTCGTCATTTTTGTTACAATTACATTTCCATCCACCTGCACAGCTGTTGTTCATTCCACAGGCACATTCTCCACTGTCGATCGCTGCTCCTCCCCAATAATTCATCTTTGAGCCTTGACGCGATACCCACCAACCATAATGTACCTTTGTGGTTTTGAACCAGATAACGCTATGATAACATTCGTATTTTATAAACTGCTCACAATTTTTTGACTGTTGAATAATGGCAACGATCACCTCCATGGGAATTTCGTAGTTAATACTTCTGTTATACGAGCCTGGAGAACCATACCCCTTCACAAATGTCCTCGATTCACTGTCATGTCCAATCTCTGTCACGCCAATACTATTCTTTGAGGTCATATTACAAAATACCGAAACCGATAAGTTAAGTCCTTGTGGTTTTAGAGAATAAATTCCACTATCAGCTGAAGGATCCTTTGTTCGTAAAACGGTGCAAGAATTGTAGGTATTTCTCAAAATACCTGTAATGAAATACAGTCTTTGTTACTACTACACGAAATTTGAAAATAACTTTGATCAGATATATGAGGTTTATTAGGTATTATGTTTGAATTATGAAAGCTTTTCATGTTTTTAAGATGTGGATGAATTGCAGTCCCACGACAACGTTGCCAAAACTCCTATGATATTCGACGATATGAAAGTAGCTGAAACGTGATTGGTGTTTTAGAACTTGATCAAAACGGAAATTTCAGCTAGCTAAACGTTTGTATGAAGTGATTTTTACTTTTTGCAAGTATTAAACTGACATTTATCGGTAGTATTAAGTATTACTGCACTAATTACATTCACACTCTCCTCCGCGGTTTTACTTGTTAAATGTTAATATTTTATACCTGAGGAAGAATTTTTCGATGCCTGAAAACTTTCTGTTGGATTCGGGTTTGCAGGAATCTATATAAAAGAAAAAGTGTTACCTAAGTAGTGGGGCAACTAATTTCCTCTGGGACCCATTCGTTAGAACAACTACAAACATGTAATGTGTGAATATTTTTTCTGATCAATATTTTATTTTCTTTTAATATCAGAAAGTTTCACCCTGAGACCGTTGAAAATCGCCAAATCAAGCGTGAATAGGTAAGTGAGTAATCATCGAAACTGATCTGCTCACTGATTGGTCGAGCGACTCGGGATTATTAAAACAATAAAGTTGATGTGATGTTCGCGGGCATAAATATGTTTTTGGTCCGACTCTGAACTCATATTAATTTCAAAGGGCAATTTTTGTATTATAATTGCCATAATTCCGCTGATTGAAAACGTAGACAATGTCCAATATAATAAGGTTTCAGTGCAAAAAATTTAATTTTCGTATCTTGCAGTGCCTTAACTAGAATGATAATTGGGGATGCGGAGTATTCATATAAGCTACCGCACTTACAAAATAAATCCATCAGGCAGAATTGAATGCATGAATAAAAACCCCCCTCTTTCCATCTTTCCAATCACGCCCCAGTTACCTTGAGATTTTTGAATTAAAAAACGCTGTCGGTTTAAAAGTTTTATTTATCGTAGCTTGTTCTAGACTAAGGCCTTTGACGTTGATGTAGGATAAAAAATTTGAAAGTAATTTCCATTGTGCTTAATGTCTACCAACACCACACTTTGTTGAGCGACAAACAAACTACCCTACAAATAGCGAACTCATGCACTATTATACACACTACGAACTATTTCTTTAATCAAGGTTTATAGCAATTTTTGAGACTGAGAAGAATGTCCTGGTTACTTCTTGTGTCTCTTACCTTGTTGATTATATGAAGATGTTTGAACTCAGGGTTACTACAACTTCCGTCGTCGTCAGATGTGTCTTGAATGGTCTTGCTGTTCAGCTCACATCGACCTTTACCGTTTCCTGAGATTTTGTAATTTGCCGACATACAAGATCCATGTTCAAGGCAATGCATACTGCATTCCAACTCGGTTTCAGCGTGTTTTGTTTCAATAACATGATTCGCTAAATATTTGCCAGTAGTTTTACTGAAGACGGCTTGGGCGAATGAGCAATCGCCTGGCTGTAGTATTCCTGAGATGAAAATTAACGCAGAGATGCCTCGAAGGACAGCCATTTTGATAATGACGGGACGATCTCTGACACTCGTTTAATTTTCAAATTAATTAGGTCAAATGTTGTTTGTTATAACGAATTTATGTTTTGATTTAATTATTTCATAGCCGGTGTTTCGGGATCGCTAAAGGCGGTGCAATTTGTCTTGCAACTTGCAATGCGATTTTGTAAGTGAAAGAAACGTTCATGCATGGGGAGTAATAAACACAGACATTTTGAAGTTGTCAAATTTACAACTCTCAAAAATAGAATTGAATAATTGTAATTTGCATGAAAAATTGCGCCTTATTACTGCATGAAAGTGACCCAATCTCGGTCGGAAAAAAAAGTGTCAGCTTGCATTTTGCAGAGATGTTCAAATCGCATCTCAGTCTTAAACACTGTGACTTATATTACAACTCTAACATAAAATTATATAACAGCAGGTAATATTGCATTTATTACAGATAATTAAAAATTGGAAAGGCTGATAAGATGTTAAGTTTCCACCAAAATATCTCAATTTGCGCAGAGCCAGACTAAAAATATGATCCTAAAAGCCTCCAAGCATTAGTTGACGAAATTTGCATCATTTTTAGCTATCAATTATCGATGTGCGGTAGAATAATATGAAATAAGCCCGAAGGAATTAAATAATTTCCCATAGCAAAAATGCAATTAAGCAAATTACATAATTCCAGTTATTCTGCCTTTTTAATTACGATCATTTCCCCCTTTATTTTGTTTAATTTAAAAATTAGTTCTTTGTTATTACAAACTATATCGGACAAAGGGATGATTTGTACAGCTGCAATTGTTTTAGTATGCATAGCCAATATTAATATATTATTCTCAACTTAGGCTGCGCATGCATGTTAAATACGCTGTCAGTTGATAGTGATAAAAACAAAATCAGAAAACCGACGTTCACATGTTCATGTTTCCACCCCTGAGATACATAATTCATCTTTATCGCTCATAGAGCTCACTTCTGAGGTATGGAATGTGGTTGCCGCTCATATGCATTGTGAGTTAACGGACTATAAAATATATCAAAAATGAATAAGATCCAATTAAATGGATCGGGTGAACTGACTTTGATGCTAACTGGGTGTTTCTAGCGTTGCCTGACGCGAGTTTGTTGACAATTTGTAATTTACCTCTATAATTGATGGGGTATTATCTCCCCTGTTAATTATACCTGTTCATAAAAAGGCAAGGGGGGCAACTATTTCGTTTTAAACTAATCGCCATATTTATCCACATTTTTAGGTAAAGCCAATCAGAGTGCTAAATTTTGAATACTTCATGTAAAATGGTATATATTGTACTTTTTATCAAAATGTATGCGTTCTGATTGGGTTACTGAAAATGTAAACAAACTTGCTGATTGGTCTAAAACGAAATTAATCCCCTCTTGTTCGGACTGCTTCATAATGGCAAAAATGGCCGCCATAGAAACTGCGTAGGCAATTTTTTCGTGTAAAGAACCGGGTGGACCATATCCTGCCACATAGGTTCTCGACTCACTATCATGTCCAATCTCTGTCACACCAACACCACCCTTTCAAATCATGTTACAAAATACTTCAGTCGAGAAGTTGTGTCCTTGTGGTTTTATAGAGTACATTCTACCTGCTGAAGGGGATTGTTTATTAAACTGGTTCAAGATTTCTTCTCATATTTCAAGTTACCTGTTGAATAAGTTCATGAGAAATTGGGAAAAGTATTGATACTTCCGATACCAATAAAAGGTACTGGTATCTTCGATATCTATGAGCCTGTGTTGTTTTGTCCTTGTTAACGTACAAACTATAGTCAGATACTTCATTCTTTATCGTCAATGTTGAACTGGAATTAATTAAACTTTCATATTCACTTTCTCCCTTTTTCCAGGGAGCAGCGAGAAATAAAATCATCTAAGCGGTAATTGCAAGCTTCTGTCTTGCAGCTGAAATTTTACATACAATATATTTCCCAGCGAAGAACGTCTTGAAAACGCCACAGGCCCACCGTCTCTCAAAAGGCGTACTGCATGGCGTCGTCGAGTTTCAGCGCTGTTTGTACGTCAAATTTATATACTAACTTTTATTATTAAATACCTTAACCTATGTATCTATATGCAGTTTTATGATGTATGATTTATACGTTTGCAGCTGGGCATACATTTCCTTGAGCCACCTCTATATAAATACCAGAGAGGTGCTGAAATCACCTAACGCTCGCCTGCACTGTTTGTCTAGAATAAGGCTAAACTCTGTATGAAAGGTATCTGTATGAAGCACAAATTACCGATCTTTTTATTACAAATTACAAGGCTAAAATCCGCGTTGGAAGGTAATATTAAGCACAAACTTCAGATATTAGTTGTGACATCAGAATTACTGGCCAAAACTGGCCTCGGAATTACATTAGTTTTATTTGTGACCAATATTTCTTCCGTTTCTCGCAATCCGCGCAAGTGATATCAACAGGTAAGTTAACGGACCAGGCAAAAGTCCCTGCTTTAAGCCGGGCGCACACACAACGATTTTACGGTAGTTGGTCAATTCAGGTTTAGACATATAGGCAGCCCTTGCCCAGACATGTTTTCCTTCTCGCGGCACTCGCGCCTCGCGCGTGTACGCGAGTCTACTTGGTCTAATATTATGACCAAGTATAGATCGCCAGTCGCCACATTTTGATGAAAACATCCATCTAGACAATCTAGACAGGAATCGGCCGACTAAAATCGTCGTGTGTGCGCCTAGCTTTATGAAATAAACAAGATTGGATTTTTATATCTACACAAAAAAGGATTATGCATCAAACAACGAAAAGGTATAATATATTTGCATGTGTATCTACATATAAAATAATATGCAAGTAATATGCAAATAATATGCAAATAATATGCACATGCGTTGCCATTTGCCTTTGCATTCCGAGCCTATCGGCTTTCTACTTATAAATACTTATGTGCTAAAGCTTATATTTGCGAATTATCTGACAATATTCTTTAAACTTTAACGTTGGACTATGTTTTATATATTTTCACTCCCTGAATGATTTCTATATTAAGCGATTGAATTTTGATACGGCATGTCACAACTCACAACACAATCTCATAATTTATAATTGTACATGTACAATACAAACAAATGGTAGCATACAGGTGAAAATATTTGAAAGTTTCTCATTTGGCCTAGGGTTGTACAAATAGTTTCGTTAAATATGATTCAGCTACAACTTTGAACTAAAAAAAACAGGGCTACATAATAGCCCTGAAAATCGTAATGAGCGTGATAATTACTCTGGATAACTCTAACATTGACCTTATCATGATGCTAATAAGCTTAACATTTGCCTTATCATTTGATAATTTTGAGCAAAGCTCTCTTTATCATTGTATAAATGTGTACCAAATGGCACTGAATAGTCACAATGCATATCTATGACTTATATTTATGATGATTCCTCTGATGTAAAGCCATAATATTTAAAAAATATAGCATCTTAACATTGACCTTATCATTATGCTAATTAGCTTAACATTCACCTTATCATTTGATAATTTTGAACAAAATTCCCATTATTTTTGTTTAAATGTGTACTAAATGTCACCATATAGTCACAAGACATATCGATGAGCTATATTTATGATGAATCTTCTGATGCAAAGCCAAAATATTTAAAAAATATAACATCTTAACATTGACCTTATCATTATGCTAATTAGCTTAACATTCACCTTATCATTTGATAATTTTGAGCAAAACTCTCTTTATTATTGTATAAATGTGTACCAAATGGCAATAAATAGTCACAATGCATATTGATGACTTATATTGATAATGATTCCTTTGATGTAAAGCCAAAGTATACAAAAAATATAGCATTTTAACATTGACCTTATCATTATATTTTGTTGTATAATGTTCACTCCCCCCTGGTAAATGGTTCTTTTGCAACAAATAGACTCCTTAAGTAGGTAAGTTGAAAATAATGGGAAAATAAAAGTGGCATCTTAACATTCTACTTATCATGTAGTGTGGACGCGGACGGGGACGAGGACGGGGACGGGGACGGGGACGGGGACGGGGACGGGGACGGGGACGGGGACGGGGACGGGGACGGGACGGGACGGGGACGGGGACGGGGACGGGGACGGGACGGGGACGGGGACGGGGACGGGGACGGGGACGGGGACGGGGACGCGGACGGGGACGCCAAGACTATAGCAATAGCTCTCTTGCACTAAAGTGCAGGCGAGCTAAAAATACAAACTACAAACTAATAGTATTCGTATCCAATGTTATCAGACAGGTTAGAAAAATACAAAACAAAACAGATTTTGAGAATAGTCATCTTGTGTTCTTTATATTGAAGATAAAACAAGAGTATAAAAGTCATTGATATTTTTTGTCTTTATTCCAAAGGCATCGTCAGACTGACAGAAAGATGCAAGCTTCGCAAATTTTGGCAACGCTACTTTGAAATTTGAATGTCGCCTGTATTGATAATTAACGAATGATAAAAAAGGCAAATTTGGACAAGAAATACGAAAAAAAGATTAAAATTTTGATTATTCCCGCAAATTTCTTTCTGAAATATTTTAGCGGCGATCTTTGATTCGTTGTTTATAGATTTCATATTGTCAGACCGTTTAAATTAATTTCGCCTATTTTAAGCTTCTCCTTTAGCGGTTTCAAACTCGATGACTTTTATATTTATAATGTCGGCAAAATGCTGTTTATATTTACAGAAATCCCGCGTGAGATAATTCAAGGCATTCAAAGGTTTTAGTAGGCCTACGTATAACGTCCAACTTGACGCAGAGCCATAGTATCCCATTTATCCCATTATGCCTTTCGAGCGTAGACCACGAGGGAAATTTCAAATTTGAATACTTATTACTTATAGCCAAACCCATATTGAAGAATATTTTTTTATTGCAAATATGGCATTTGTATCTTGCTTATGAACTCTATATATTACCGGTAAAGATATGGACGTTTAGGATATGGGAAAATATACACTATATCGGCAAAAATTTGCGGTATTTCATAAGGTGAGTTGATGTTTCATGATGTAATATGCCAACATTCTGAGTGTGTTATTATACGACGTATAAGCCTTTATCCGTATCTATTATAGATCAAGGATTGTATTTATGTGTTTTTTCATCGTGCAATGATTTGGGCCATGATTTTATGTGTTATTATATGTTATATAGTTAAATAATTGGCTATAGCAGTGGCAGCTAAACGATAACTTAGGGGCTGTTTACATGAGCCCGGTTACCCAAGATTCAACGAAGCGTGAGATGATTTTGAGGTATTGAAATGAGCAGATAACATGATCCTGGGGTCGGTTGTTCAAAAGGCGTTTAGCTTAAACGGTGGATAAGCCAAAGTTTAAAAGTACTTTCACAGATCTTGTGAATGAATGAACCTGCATCTTATCGCTCGCAGAATAGCCCTGTTTCCGCTAGGCGGAATTAAAATTAAAAAATTCCGCCTGGTGGAAAACAGGCCTTAATTCTGCCTGAAAGCAAACAGACAATGAAAAATTCCACTTAGTGCTGCAGCCCTTAACCAATTTTCGAGATCATTGATATTATCGTTGAATATCATCATTATATGTTTATCCCACGGGGCCCAGTTAATTTAACGGTTCATTTAGGTTTTTGCTAAAATTGCATTTTATTAATTGCAATTAATCCAAAATGTTGTTGGCAAAGTCATCCGAATATTTTATCAACTATTGCACGCAATACCGCTAGTTAGCCTATATACCAGAAGTATGCTGACATGCTCAACTCTATGAAGTCAAAATAAAAATATGGCTTGCCGCCGTAACGTAACTACAAACATAGAATGATCTATAAGATTATTTATATACATAATATTATACACAAAGTAATCTTAATATTTTTCGCGAATTCTAACTCCATGGGCAAATATGAACACGTTAACAAGCCTGATTTCACAGAAAGAAATTGGGCAGAAATTTCGCTCTCGCGACTAATTGTTAAATACAGTATGATCAGTTATTTGTTTTATTCTAACCCCAACAACGCAACTTTCCCAGTGTGTGATATCCTTCCTCTCTCTCAGCTACATCGGCCTTAGTATCTCCAAATGTCAGTTCAGTAACCGGAAGTGTGTTCTTGTCTGTCAGGTATCCACTGTCTTCACGCCATGTTTCGTCATTCTTGTCACAATTACATTTCTTTTTACCTGCACAGCTGTTGGTCATTCCGCAGGCACACTTTCCACTGTCGACTGCCGCTCCACCCCAGTAATTCATCTTAGAACCTTGACGTGATACCCACCAACCATAATATACATTTGTGGGGCTGTACCAGATAACGCTATGATAACATTCGTATTTTATGAACTGCTCGCAATTTTTTGACTGTTGAATAATGGCAACGATCGCCTCCATGGGAATTTCGTAATTAATAATTCTTTGGTAAGAACCTGCAGAAGCATAATCCTTCACAAATGTTTTCGATTCGCTGTCATGTCCAATCTCTGTCACGCCAACACTATTCTTTGAGGTCATATTACAAAATACCGAAACCGATGATTTAAGTCCTTGTGGCTTTAGAGAATACATTCCACTATCAGCTAAAGGGTCCTGTATTCGTAAAACGGTGCAAGAATTGTAGGTATCTCTCGACATACCTGTCATAACAACGGTCTTTGTTACTACTACAAAAAAATTGAAAATAACTTTGATCATGCAGGTGTTTTAGGTCTGGATTTAGAATGGACGCTTTGCATGTTTCTCTCTCATGTAAAGCGTGGATGAATTGTGGATGGACCAATGAAAAATATCAGCTATCTTTGGCATTATTAAAATGGTTGTATAAATTAAAAAAGTGATTTAAGATTTAGTTAAGAGGGAGTTTGAATTTCTCATTTTAAGAACATTGAATTAAGTTGACATTTACCGGCGGCATTAAATAATAACCTACTGCACTATAAAAAATTTTAAAATTTTTACTGGCTTGCTTCGTGAACTTGTTAAGCGTTATACCTGAGGAAGGATTTCCCGTTGTCTGAAGAGTGCTTGGTAGCGGGTCTGGTTTTGGACGAATCTATATAAAAGAAATAGTGTGTACCGAAATCATGGTGCAACTAATCTCCCCTAGACCCATTCGTTCAAAAGACAACTACATGTAAATTTAAGTCCTGTGAGAATTTTTTCACTTTCTTAATATTAACCGTGCAAGAAAAAAGTTCACATGTGAAACGGTCTTTTGTAATATAACGTGAAAATACCTACTCAAAGAAAACGTTTTGACTCAAATAATGCATGTCTTTGGCACTGTTCTAGACGTTTAATTGTTATAATTCTATATAGTCGATCAACCATCAACCATTTGTGACTTTCGAAAATTATTTGCGCAACAATTTGCCGATGTTGGGCGAATGAAGAGTGATAGGACCTGAATGTCACAAGATTTGCAAAATTAGCACATATTGTACGTTCAATCCTGCCAAAAAAACCCGCGGAAAAACTAATATAGAATATCGGTTCAAATTGGTCTGTTTAATTTTTCTTCTTTATAATGAACAAAATTAATAATGGTAATTGCACTAAGTAGAGTGCAATTTGGTGTGAAATCAAACGCGTGATTACAAAATCGCACGACCGCAAAGCGGGAGTGTGATTTGTAATCACAAGTGAGATTTCACACCAAAATTGCACGACACGAAGTGCAATTTCCACTTTACTATATTCATTTTGAAATCGTACAAAAGAGTAAACAAATTCAAAACGACTTATTGGCTGAAAGAGCCGAAAACGGTGTAGAATGTGAGTAATTTTCATCTATTTTTGCGGGGCATTTAAAAATACAAAATAATAAAATGTTGTGCCATTTTCCCTTGTAACTCGATTGGATAGTTACACTGAAATACTAAATCTGATTGGTTATTGTGGTGCCGAGCTTCAATCTCATCGACCTTTGCCGATTTGCTGACATACAAGACCCATCTTTTATGCAGTGTATACTGCATTCTAACTCAGTTTCAGCATGTTTTGTTTCGATGACATGATTCGCTAAATATTTGCCAGTAGTTTTACTGAAAAAGGTTTGGGCGAATGAGCAATTACCAAGCTGGAGTATTCCAGAGAATAAAATTAACGCACTAATGCCTGGCAAGGCAGCCATTCTGATAGTGAATGTGACGATCACTCACATTTGTGTGATTTTTAAATTAATTATATAGACGCAATATTGCATGATTGTTTGTCGTAACAACTTTAATTTATTTTCTAATTTAATTATTGGATGGCCATAGTCATAAATAATAAATATTAGTGTTAGGAAAAGTTAGACCAGGTGTTTTGAGATCACTATTAACGCTTTTATACAGTGAATTTGCTTGTAATTCACAATGCAATTTTTTTTAAGAGATTAGTGAAGTTCTTCAAATTGCGTAGTTGCCGAGTTAACATCTCTGAAAGATAGAATTTTATTACAAGTGGCATAAAAATTTGAAACGTGTATTACGGTCTTATAATTGGAAGTGATCCAATCTCGGTCTGAAAAGAACATGTCAAATTGTATTTTGCAGAGATGTTCAAATCGTATCTCAATCTCAAACAGCCCTAGAGTATTGTAACTTTGAAATAATAGATGCTAATATTGCATTGTAATATTATATAGTTACAGTCGCCGTTCATCAGTTTGGCGAACGATTGATTTTAACCGCCATGCAGTGTGGGAGTTGCTTCAGATAATTAAAAATTGAAAAGGCTGAAAGACTAAAAATATCATCCTGAAAGTCAAAATTCTCATCATCTTTTAGCTATAATGTTACAATTTTTCATCGCGTGTGACTGTTCATGCAACTGCATAATTATATTAATTAACGTTGCGCATGCAATGGGAAAATATGAAAAAAATGGCTCGAGGAATTACATAATTGTCTTTTTCTAAGTCTGGCTGCTCAATAAGAAACAATTTCCCCTTCATTTTGTCAAATTAAAGATTATAGTTCTATGTTATTACAAACAATCGGGCAAAAAAACCGACGTGATATACCCACAAAACATAACATAGCTAATATTATACAAAGAAATGTTTCTCGATCCTGATTGGTTGATTTCAGTGCATTTAATCCCAAACAGTATAGTGCAAAAATTTGTAACAGTGCAAATTTCTGTAACAACAGTGCAAAATCCTGTTACAAATATATTCTCGAAGATTTCCTTGCATATCATTACTACGTAATAGTAGAATTTCTCGTGCAAGTACGGATAAACACTCACTCGTGAGTTTTTAAAGACTCGTCCTTCGGACTCGCCCTATTTTGCAGCCTTTAAAAACTCATTCGTGCTTGTTAATCCGTAAGTGCACTCGAAATTATACTATAATATACTATAAATATTACCTATACTAAGTTGTCACCCAAAAAATGAAAAATTACTTATTTTTCCACTCTCAAAATCCTGAAACGAATATAATAAATCCGTTACATTGCCTATATAACTAAAGAATATTCTTGTCTTTGACGTTTCACTGATTAAATCTCGTTAGGTTGTTTACTTGGTTTTATGAGAATAAAAAGCATGCATGTAAATTAAGGTAGGAGGTATTTCGAAAAGAGGTCTGTTTGCGAGGAGATCGATCGTTTTTGAAGATATTTCAGCAAAATAGGTTTTTCCTCTTTATGCTAACCCCAGCATCTTAACTTTCCCAAAGTATGATATCCTTTTTCACGTGATGGATCCGAGGTATCTCCGAATCTCAGTTCAGTAACCGGAAGCGTGTTCTTGTCTGTCAGGTATCCACTGTCTTCACGCCATATTAGGTCATTCTTGTCACAATTACATTTGTATCCACCTGCGCAGCTGTTGGTCATTCCACAGGCACATTTCCCACTGTCGATCGCCGCTCCTCCCCAGTAATTCATCTTGGCACCTTGACGTGATACCCACCATGAATAATACGTATCTGCAGACTTGTATCTGAAAACGGTATGGTGGCATTCGTACTTTATAAACTGCTCACAATTCGTGGACTGCTGCACAATGGCGACAATGGCCTCCATAGAAATATTGTAGGTAACTTTTCTCTGGTAGGAACCAGGTTGATGATATCCTGTCACGTAAGTTCTCGATTCACTATCATGTGCAATCTCTGTCACACCAACACTATTCTTTGTAGTCATGTTACAAAATACTTCAATCGAGAAGTTGAGTCCTTGTGGTTTTATAGAATACAATCCACTACCAGCTGAAGGGGTATTGTTTCTTAAAACGGTGCAAGATGTCCCCGGTGTCTGCGAAGGGCTCGCTGGATCTGAATTCTCTAATATCTTTGTAAAAAAGAAGAATATACACTATAGCCACGCATGGACTGTCTTGTCAGCGTTAAAACTGTTAAGACCCAGACAGACAGGACCTGATTTGGCAACGCGGCGCGATTTTTCAAAGATTTTATTTTCAAAAAGCAAATAAAGTTTAACCTTCATTAGATTCTTGTTGATTACTTAACGATACTACATTTTTACTGCTCTGGCGGCCATATAGCTACTCCAAATTTTTGGTACCAGAATTTAATTTATATATGCTTCTGAAAGCTAAAAATTCGCGACGCGTTGCCGTGCATCGCGTCCAGTCTGTGTCGACCTTTATATAGGTATATTTGGTACTGCGCTGGACCAGTTTGTCAGTGACATGCATGCTTTAAAACCAAGCTTTCTAAACTTTTATTATTTTACATATCGTCAACAAACGTATACTAAAATTTGCTGCCAAAAATTCTGTAGATTTATTCACTTATTTTTCAAACATAAAATAATTTATATAATTGTTATATAATCGTTTTTTATTTCCGTACAGTGGCGTAGCCAGCCAGACGATTTTGTCCCGCTATGTAAATTTCGAGTTGTTATAGTTATTCATGTCTTTAGAAATCTATTGTTTTCACAGTCAGTGAACAGTCCAGGGGCGCCGTGGGTGTGCTAATGTAGGGGTGGCCAAAGGCAACATTATTCCGACCAGCATGTTTTTTTCCCGACATCTTTATAAGAAAAAAGTAATGAATATTGATAAAACTGACAGGGGGTTTTGGGCAAGGACGCGCATGCATTTGCTATGACAAAGATCACGAGCTACGTCTACTAATTTAAATTGACGCTTCATGCACAATGAATATGACCGATAAATATTCACGTTTTACATACGCTTTTCAATTGAGTAGTTGAATAATTTTTGACACAGTTAACTGTTTTTGGGAAAACTGTATTACAGAGATTTCTAATCCACATGCATTAACAAATAAGGCGATACGTTATTTCACGATACTCTATTATAGCTTTGTAACCCCTTAGTGGATGAACATACAGCGTATTCTATACGCAACATTTGTTTATAACCAAAATATAAACATATTCGCAAATGCTTCAATCCTCTCATCAGTTTACTTCTTCTGCTGTACTATCGTGGTACCTTATCTTTGTATAAACTTCAGGAACCGTTTGACTAAAAGTACTATAAACTTGAAAAGGATTTGCTGTAGCTCCAGCATTCTGATACCAAACATGCTGGTGTTTCTTTAGACAGTCACCATATAATGCAATAAACTCACTCAACAATAAATGCGGTCGAAGATACATCGCCATTCATCGCGATTTTATCGCGCCAATCTCCGACATTTCGAAAATTACATTCCTTGCGTAATGTTATATTAATAGAAACTATGCATGTTTATCGGAAACTGGAAACGTTCGGAAGAAACAGCTAGTTTAGCCTGCGCGACAACAGTATAATAAAAACTTGGGGTAGTGTCGTACCGTATGATATTAGAAATAACCGCGTCTATTTTCTGATAGTTCAAATACTTTTTGGTTGTTCAGCATAACACAGCCACAAATGCAAAAATAGCTTAGTCTCTGTTATGATTGATATACTCCGACAACATGCAATGTTCGTAAATTTCCGACAGGTTTGAATCCTGGAGGGGGCCATGGCCCCCCCGGCCACGGCGCCCCTGAGTGAACACTAAAATATTAGCATAGCGGGGAAAATCGACAGGCTGGCTACGCTACTGTTTCCGTACTTTCAACTTGTTCAATTTAATTAAAAAAGCAAAATTAATAATTTATAAATTTATAATAGATTATTGTCATTTTTTCTTTAAATCGCGTGGCAATCAACTATGGGTATATGTCTTTTATATGATTTAAAAAAAACAATCTGCAAGAGTTGTAAGTAAAGATCGCTGAATATTGCATTTCTATATATTATTGAATATTGCAACAGAATATTGCAATTAACTTATACATGAATATAAGTAAACTTTGCATATAAAATTAAAACAACGTCCTAAATTTTTAATCACTTTCCAATTTGCGAATTTTTTGTTAACTTTGAAAAATTTTTTTCGGTTGGAAGCGTTTTTTTAACAAGTTATACTATACAATATTATACAAAATTTGTTAACTTCGCATGGCTTTATTTTCCGCAATCTACATACAAAATTTCGCAACCGCAGAACAAACAATTTTATATCTCGATTTTTTTACTCCTTACCTTCTTAACAACGTAGATGTGCTTGAACTCTGGGTCGCTCTTGCATTCAGCATTGTTCGATGTGTCTTGAAGGGTCTTGCTATTGAGCTCACATCGACCTTTACCGATTCCTGAAATCTTGTAATTAGCAGACACACACGATATATGTCGAACGCAATGCATACTGCATTCCGACTCAGTTTCAGTATGTTTTGTTTCGATGACATGATTCGCTAAGTATTTGCCTTCGTTTTTGCGAAAGAATGCTTGGGCGATTACGCCTTCGCCTGGTTGGGGTATTCTAGAGATGAAAACCAACACGTAAATGCCCAGTAAGACAGCCATGTTACCGGGAGTGAAAATACAGGTCTTGCGCAAACTAAAATTGCCACATTTATTAATCATGTAAAATATCATTTACAAATCCTATTAATTTATTTTCTCCACCCATATATAATTGATTTTCACTGCTATGAGAAAATGTTTGCAGCGATTGTAAAGGGTTTCTAGATCGATTGTTTATGCCTATATACTTGATGCGATTGAAACTGACACACAAGTTGTTAGGTTTTGTTTAAGCTGAAATATTTCCAGCGATTTACCGTAATCGTGACGTGATTTATTTCATCTTCGACTCGTTTAACTTCGTTGTAAAATTAACATAAAACGGATATAAAATATGATATATCTAAGTTATATAATTCGATTCGCTTATATCATAGTCGAGCAATCCCATGCAGAAGTATCATCCAAGCATCGTAATCCAAAAAAGCTTTATATCATAAGCTTTAGCGCTATTTGTGCGATCACGCAACAGCAGGCATCTTTATCCAAACCAATTAAGTCAAAAATTAATCTCCTGAGTGACAATTATTGTTTTCCCACGTCTGCCTTTTTAATTTATAGACAGTTTTCTTTATTTTGTTCACTTAAGAGTAGTCCTATAATGTGGCTCATATAATTGTATAAAAAGAAAGATATAGGTATAGCCGCTATGGGAATTTGACATTATTATCTCTAAATTCTGTTCGAGCTAAACGTTTTGTATTACGTTCGGTCTATCTAAGTGAAATAGCGACTATTTATTTTAGATAGATCGTATTTATTTCAGATAGATCATATTTAGAGCCTGTAAAACGTTTAATACTGGACAATTTACTTTATTCTAGTTCCACTTCGAGGCAAAAATATTTTGAAGTAAATAAAAGCAATTCCGTCTTTCCTGAGTTAAAACCTAGTTTGTTATCGTGTTTACAAAAATCGTCTATTTTCCACCATTGGATGTGTCTGGTGTGGGTAACTATAGTGATTGAAGATTCCTAAAAGTATTTTTTCACTCAGAGCATCTTGGCTTGCAATATATGACATGAACATATTTTTATATTTTTCCAATTTTTCTGTAGTGGACCACCTTAAAATTGAATGCTAAAATCCGGAAAATAAAATATAAAAACTGTCAACACTTCACATATATGCGCAATCAAAGTAGAAGATTATTCGAAAAGAGTTATAGTTAGCAAGGAGATTGTTTTCGAAATTCCCATGGGTGGCTATTCTTTTTCGCTGTTTAAAATGTTTCTGTAAGTTTTTTTTTCTTTTATTGTAACCCCAGCATCGCAACTTTCCCAAGTATGATATCCTCTCTCCTGTGTTGGATCTGCAGTATAACCAAATCTCAGTTCAGTAACCGGAAGAGTATTTTTGTCTGTCAGGTATGCGCTGTATTGCACTCAGACGAACGATTTGCTTTAATATTTTATTAGTTTTTACAACACACAATGCCTTGCATTATTTAAACTATACGTAACTCACTTCACTTGAATATATTGATTTAATTGATCCTAAAGAATCCTATATGTCCCAATTTACACGCGGTACCAGTTCGGTATGGGAACAGATCAAATTTCGTAATTATAATAAAAAGCCGTAAACGCTTTTATCAAATTGACAAGAATTTGCTATGATCCGACTAGCAATTCTGATAGGAACTATGATCCGATATAAATTTTCTATAATTGACTATAACAACAAAAAGATGTCAATATGAAAATAATGTAATATTTTGATGTGAATTAAAAGAGTTAACCATCGGCTATTATGGTCAACGTCTGATCTAAAGTTTTGTTAGTCAAAACTATCATATCAATCATATCAGAAGTGTTACTACACATATTCGTCAACCCCAGCAACGTAATTTTCGTAGCGTATGATTACCATGCTCAACAATAGCACCAGTATCTCCAAATCTTAGTTCAGTGACAGGTAGTGTGTTTTTGTCGGTGAGATATCCACTGTTTCACGTAATACTTGATCATTTTCGTCACAATTGCAGTCTCCTCCACCTTCACAGCTGTTGTTCACTGCACACCCACATTTTCCACTGTCAACTGCCGCTCCACCCCAGTAATTCATCTTTGAACCCTGACGTGATACCCACCAACTCTTTCGTTCACCCTCGTATACAAATGTGCTTCCAAGGCATTCATACTTTATAAACTGGTCACAATTCTTAAACTCGTTCATAATGGCACGATGAACGATCTGCTCCATGGAAATTTCATAGTTCATCGTTCTCTTATAAGAACCTGTAGCTTCATATCCGTCCACAAGTGTTCTTGATTCACTGTCATGTCAAATCACTGTCACACCAACACAATTCCTTGAAGTCGTGTGACAAAATACTCGAAACGAGAAGTTTAGTCCGTTGGGCTTAATAGAATGCATTTCAT